TATTTACCATGAAATGAATCCTATGCAAAAACTAGCTGATAATTGCCAAGGTCTGAGAACTGCGCCTGCACAACAGGCACGAGGCAATAGAATTTTTGTGCATGTAAATGATGCAAAATTGAAAAATGCGCGACCAATGCATCCTTTACAATCCAATGCATCCTTTGCATTGTAAAAACAATGTAAAAATTTAAACAATGCGCAACCAAGAAACACACAATTTGAAGCCTTTGAAGCCAACACAAACATTAGGTATTAAATATTATCAAAGTAATTAAGAAGCCAGCTTTGCCCAAACGAACGCGGGACACACGTGGACAACGAGGAGAGCTGGCAGCAGCTGCGGCACAACTTATAGGGAGAGGCAGGGACAGGAGCTCAAGAAGCAAATTAATGGCAACTGTTTTCCTTCCCGACGATAAATCCTCCATGTCCTGAATCTGTGGTACTCATTCGCCGACTTTTTCAAATAATTCTCCTCATAAAAAGCGTTACCTTTAAAAAGAGGAAAAGAACGTACATTTAATGTGTTACTAAACAAAAATTATTCATATTAAGCAGCAAGTCCTGCAGCGAGCCTCAATTTTTAATCTGACACTTTCTTTCTTAATGAATGTGCGCTGCGTTCATGATAGGTCTAAAGGTCTAACCGCAGGTCAAGTTGTCAACGCGCTCCCAATTCCGACAAAAACGTTTAGCACCGGAGATCGTAACATACAACATTTAACGCGGCATAATTGTGATTGCAAGGTAGACATTCCTCAAGCGTGTAGAAGGCAGCGACCTTTATCTTCTTTCTCGCTATATATACCGAGTGTGCACGCCTGACTGCGTACGCTGTCATGTTATTCTCTGCCCTCAAGTCATAAGTAAAGCAAGCCCCAATATGAACAACCTTTGTTCCCAATAGAGAGCTACGCGTAGTATACTTAGAACAAGGTCAACTCGCGTAGGGCTTAAACTGCAAGCTAACTTCAGCGTTACCTGTTGCACGATCACTGGTTAACATGCCGTGCAATGGAGCAGGAGAGCTCATTTGATTTGGACGTCAACTTGTGGCACTAGGCAACAAGATTCAACCATCTCAGTTACTACAGCATCGTGGAGAAATTTGGCGCCATGTCAGGTAATAATAATCAGAAAATGCAAAAATTACTCTAGCAAAAAGGCGTTTAGGAAGATGGTATATTGTGCTGTTAGTTTTAGTGCTTAATAAATCTTTTCAATAAATAAATATGTTCTGTTTTAGGGATATATATAAAAGGAATGTTAGAATACATATCTGAAAAATATTTCACAGTTCAGAGTGCAGCACATAATTGTATTTGCATTTGAATAATTTAAAAACACATCTTTGAATATTTAACTAAATTCAAATGATAGATATATACAGTAGCATTACCTCTCCCATCAAATTTGAGTCGGTTTGCAAAATCCCCAGCCAATGAATCTCATAATCCTCAATTATTAAGGTCATGTGAATCTTGAAAATCTTGAAATTTCAGGTCATGTCATCTGCTTACATAAATACTTACAAATTGGAAAAACTAATGCAAACAAATGTAGCAAGCAATAAAATAATTAATAAAAAATTTGTAGGTTTAATTCTGAAGCAACTGTAGTTCATTTCTTTCTGGGGCAAGAGTGCCAATTATTCAGCAGCTAATTCTGAGTTTTAAACATGCATCGTTCCGTTCATTCCAAAGAAGTTATAACAAGAAAGTTTCCCAATTCACAATGACTTGCCACCAAACAGAAAATCAAGAAGAAAGTTGAGACAACTGCCTTATGAATTGAGATTATACTGATGAGTAAAATAGAACAAGAAAAACCTTCAGAAGGACATGGTGGCTACATTGAGAGCTATTGCAATGCTAGCTCCATTAGAAGGATGCAATGCTAGCTCCATTAGAATATTACCTAACTTCAAATACTCATCGTGAAACCAAAAATTTTTCCGAGTAATTGAATAGAGAGGCAAGGTCAGCAGACTGTTGGGTACGTATGTAGATGCAAGCATAATATGTCAGCTTCTGATTCATGATTTGCAATACTTTATTAGTATTTTATAATGTCTTCATATACAAATATTAAGACATAATGGTCACCCAGTCACCCATTCCGCACAAACCATAATCTTTTGAAATGATTAGTTCTGAATACATTCAAGTATCTGATGAAAAATGTTATTATTATTGGCAATATAGAAAAAAAAATATCAAGGAAAGCTTCATTTTGTACAAATTAAAGCATGAACTGAAGTGAAATTTTAATGAGCTATTGTTGAACATTTAAATGAAGGAATATATGTATATTTATTAATACATAATGACATGAATAATCATTTCCCAACATAGTGTAATTTTAAATACAACACTTCACAGATAATTCCACTTCTACCAAGTGCTGGTTTACTCCAATGTCAAAATTTGCAATGCAGTGAGAACTGCACTATTCCTAGGTCTCTTGTCTTGACTAGCAAAGAAGATCAAAACAACGTTTATATAAAGATAGTAACTTAGTAAGCATATATTATGCCTAAAACATTCAGATAATCTTCAACCTTCATTAATCAAACAAATCAAATATCAATAAATTTGTCAATGTCAAGCATGATATTAATAGTAGCATCATGGCACAGCTTAGGCAATAACAAAAGGAGAATAAACAAACTGTTATGGCACCATGACCAATACATTAACATGGTTCAGCTGTCTCTACAGCTGTTCACAGGAGCAGAGATAACATTAATGAATTTAACTGTAAGAAAGATTTTGAGGAGCTACACAGGGGCCAGTGATGAACAAGCCACTTTTCCTTAGCCTTTCTGACAGAAATATTATCTATTAAAGATGTCTCCTGGGTACATAAGTCAAATTTATCATGGATCCTTCTATCATTATCATACACACAAAAATAACATGAGAATAGTGAAGGAGCTATGGAAGGAAGAAAAAATGGCCACCATCAAACGAGCCTCCTAAGTAAGCCAAATATTCCTGCTAACAAAATAGTTGTCAGCTCAAAATCAAATAGTGGAACCCCACCTCATAAACTCAATTTGTGCTTGAAATTGGCCAGTATAGTGGCTTGTTAGTAAAGCAAACCTATTTTTTCCATTTAAATTAATCAAAAAGTCTCAAATCCACATCAGGCCTTCTAAAAGTAACCCATTACATAAATACTGTCCTTATAATAAAGTTAAAAATATTTATGTACAGTATTTAAATTTTTAGGGTTCTAATATGGCCTTTTTCTGATCCAATTTAGTGGAGGTTGTCATATTTTTAGTTTTATTCCACCATACTACTCATCCAGGTCAACAACCAGCATCTGGCTGCATATTTCTTGTTGCAGTGCAATTAATCACTAATAGGTATTGACTTTTTGCCAATCAAATGGTCTTTTGGAGTTCCCAAGCATAGTATATTACAGCAGAGCACAAAAATATAGCAGAGCAAATTTTTCAACCTGACATTTCACAAGGTAGTTTGTTCCTAAGGCTGGGTTCCACAGTCTTCCACTGATCCACTGCAATGTAAATTAAAGGGACCAGTTTAAACTCTCATTTACAACAGGCTCCTCTATAAACACCTTTTGGAAATTGGAATTTAGGGTCAATTCTAATCTTCATATGCAAGACAATGGTGACATGAAAAATTAAATTATAACAAGACTTGATTTACAGATTATAAATCTTTATGATTTCACATCTGTAAATCAAATTTCAGATCTAAATAACATCCTTAAATATGCTACTGTGTGACATTGACAAGGCATCAATGCATTAGAAACCTCTACATATATATATAAATAAAGCCAGGATAAACACAGAAAATTTTTCACACACTTTTAATTGTTAATTTCATCAGATTTTCACACCATATTGCTACATTCATCAAAATTGTATATCAACACAAATGAAAGTTATTGTTAAAAATCCAGTCTTGAGACAATACAAAAAAAAAATCTTACTTGTTTCTACCTTATGCTAATTGCTCACTAATAATGTCTATCAAGTTCAAACAAACTATCCTTCAATATTTCCTACTATATTTTTTTCAGGAGAAAGGCATAATAGGATTATTAAAATAATGAGTACAATTTAAAATATGAGTAATCAATTAATAATAAATGTTCATAGCATTCTTGTCAAGAAATCTGGAATGATTATCATAAATTTTCAAGTTAACAAATGTTTATATTTGCAAATATAGCACTAAACACTATTATAAAGATTTAAACTGATTGAAGACTAAATTTATTTGAATTTATTATTTGTCACTATTTTCAGTTTACTAAGCTCCCGCGCCAGGCGCGTATGACTAGTAGCTTTTTCCAAAATTTTGACAATGGAATCAGACTTTGAACAGACGTGCAAAAATTTGAAATTTTTTCAACACACCTTGCAACTAAGAATGCACGTCGCTTATCAAACATTTCAGAAAAATTAAAACTATTCCTCGCTTCAGAGTGAGAGGGGGTTGAGGAGACAGGAGAGCAGTGGAGGCCTGGAGGGTGAGGGTTTAGGGGTTCGATAGTCTCCATTTTACTGGTCGCGATCTCAACGCCATCTGTACGGAAGGCCGCGAACTACGGAGAAACCGCAGCAGTTGTCACATTATGACAATAAACGTTTGTTAATAACTATAAACATGCATAAGAATCACGACCCACATCATTACAAATGTTTACAAAAGCTTTAATCTTGATCATAAGCTTAATTTAAATGACACAAGAAAGAATTTAGAGAGAACCGAAAGTTGCAAGTTGACCAACATAAAACATGTTATCGTCTTTGAACAGAAACCTAAAAACAGAGAGATTCAAGAATGAGAATAAGTGGCATACAAATCAGCATAAAAATAAAAGGTAAATCACATAGAATTGCAATAAAGAACCGAGTTACAGGAAAAGTACGATACCTAGACTAGAACCGAGAAAGATCTAACGAGGCCAAAATGATCGGTGACAAGAGCTGAGTCATTCTACATTCTTACCTCAATAATATAACTATGAAGATCAATTTCATGATAATCCTCAGCTGGAAGTATTATAATTATAGAGGAAACCAAACACTGGTCTTAAAGCACTGTATCACTAGATATTTTTCACTTATAGTCAGAACACAGAGTCACAGGACGCGCCAGCCACAGAGACAACCGAGCACTGAAGAAACTTTGCGCAATACCATCTAGTTCCGGACATACAAGGCAAACAGATTTTAAGCGTCGTTTGAGCATTCAATATGACATAACTAAGAAAAGTTGCAAAATTTTCAATTATCGAGCATAGTTAGTCAAAGTTCTCTAATTGCTTTGAATATATCTACAGGTTCTCTTTGCGACATTCTCGGCAGTTGCAATCGAAAGTTCACATACCAACAACCGATTGCATGTAAATATTTGCATACAATAAAACATAAAACTAATGAGTAAACTGGACAATTTGCATTCTATTAACACATTCGAAAGTTTAATATAAGGTAAAATCGATTGGCATACAGAGCGCAGACTAAAAATTTTGAATACATAGAAAACGTAGTTTTCTTCTTTGCTGTGTTTATGGCAGACTTCGGTAAAATATTACAATGACTGATCATGGTTTAAAGCGTACAATATTACTTTTAGCGTATCATACTTTATGGCAAACTTTTATCTTAAGCTAAACAAGCTTTTTAAGTTTTCATAGCTACAATTAAGAAATTTTATGTTTATCATTAGCATCGGATTACCAGCTCAATTATTTATTTGTATCTGCTTCATGCATGATGATGGGAGGTTCAATTTAAAATTCGTGATTCGTCCATATATTTTTGATTGCATCTCACACGTTGGACTTAAGATTAGGAGTATTTGAGCGTTATCCTGATTTTCCGAAATGCAAACACTCTGTTTAATCACGCTGAATCACCTTGACATATATTTTCATCTATTTTGTGGCCTCCTTTTCTCTTATAACGTCAATTCGCTATTTGAGACGTTTCAGTACAGTTACAATGCTTATTGTTAAAAAATTAATCGACATTTCAATATTATTCTCAGGAATAGTATCATTCATTTACTTTGAAATTCATACATTAAATTTCAGTATAGCTTTATTTCGCTGTTCAAATGTCTAGGAAATGTTTTTTGAATCGCAGAATATATTTAAAAAACATAATATAAAATAAACCGCAATGCGTTTTGAATAATGGCGATGACTATATCAAGTGAAGTGCTTCGAAAACTATCAAAAATGTTTTTGATCGCTGATTACTCATAGAGATGATCTATTTTGATACGAGTACATGAACACGCTCTGGTATTTAGCTGAATTGATGAAGATTTTTTTCTTAACATAACATAACATAACATAGTGATGTCGGCGCTGAAGTGTAGGCCTGATGTGGCCTGTCGCCGATTCTTTTCCTTTTCGTGCCTTGTTCATAGATCTAAACTCGTGTCCTTTGACCGGATCTTTTCATGACTGGCGATAGTTTGAAGTAGCTACTAGACTTCCACCGGGTTCGATAAGGAGCTAGGCATTTCAAATCTGAACATATATTTTTCCATAGCTTTATCTAGTCTGTTCTTGAACGCGTTCATACTTGGAGCGCCAACGATGTCATGGGGGAGGCTGTTCCACATGTCGGTGATTCGAAACGAGAAAAAATTTTGTCGCGTGGAGAAGTTTCAGCGCAATTTTTTTAGCTTATAGCCGTGGCCCCTGGTGTTGGTTCTTGTTTCAAATTCTAGTAACCCTTCAGGGACCTTGTATAGACCATGAGTATACTTGTATACTTCAATGAGGTCCCCACGCAGACGTCGATAACTGAGGCTAGGAAGCTTCATAATCTTCAATCTTTCTTCATAGGACTTGCCCTTCAAGCCTGGAATTATCCTTGTTGCACGTCTTTGAACATTCTCTATTAAATTTCTGTCCTTTTCAAATCTCGGTGACCACACAACGTTTCCAAACTCTAGACTCGGGCGTACGACGGCAACAAACAACTGCTTCATCGTTCCTGCATCTAGGAACTCGTATGAGCGTCTGATTAGTCCAAGAAGTTTGTTTCTTCCAGACTATCTGCCTGCAAAGAGTTGATTCCTCTGAGCAGAAGAGCATTATAATAACAAAGATATATACGAAAAAATACCATTTGATCAGGATCAAGCAGACACTGACCCCGTGCTCGCACATGAGCTCCTGAATGCGCTACATTGGCCAATCAGCGTTCAGGTTCAAAAATCTGTAATTTTTTTACGTCTGTCCTCGCGGTAAGTCCAATACCATCTCTATTCTTTCGCATGTTATATATCAGTTGAGGTAGAATATTTATCACATGCAGCCAAACTGATGTTTTGATGACATTTTTCAGTTTTGTGAACTTTAACTACATGGGAAGCTGGCAAGTGCATTTCATCCCTGAGTAATTCAACCAAAAACGTCAATTTGTATTGCGTAATTTGTTCAACCAAAAGCGTGAAATTGAAAAGCGTAATTTGTGTTGAAAAATTTTTTTAGTTGAATGCTGGCCGTGCTTGCGAGTGAGTAGCAAGATCAGAATTTTGTGTAAAATTATAGTGCGAGTCCTATTCTATTTACACCTGGTACTTTAAAAGGAACTGATGCAAAAGTGACTAAAATTTACTTTTTATCGATAGTTAACTTCTACTGAACAGAGCAATACTTGAGCCAATAGTTTAAAAGAAGGTTATTTCAGTGATTCCAGTTATGAAAATTTACTTAGTTGTTAGTTAGTTTCCTAATAAATTTACATAAATGGAACTTGGAACTGCTGCCGAACTCACATATACCAGCCTGCTATACTGCCACAAGCCAGAACGACGACAATATGTTTGTGCTGTGCAGCAGCATTATTTACAATATTACTTTACATTACATTATTATTACATTATTTACCCATATTACGTACGTGATGTTCATATTTTTCAGATTTTCATATTAGTAATAAATGATGTTAAAACCTTGAAATTATCTGTATAGTTTATAAGCAATAACTTTCCAAAACATGAGCTGCGAATTCTAGAAGACACATCGAAAAAAAATCTCAGTAAAACCTGAACAAGCACAATCCTCGTTAATAGTAAATCTGTTGAATTCGTGGTCCAACACTTGGTCTGAAAATCCGGATATATTTCAAAAATCAAAATAATAATTTTAATAACTAAGTGGTTTCATCATATAAGACTAAATGATGCATACATCGCTATACCAGTGATGAATGTTAGTAATGAGATACGGTGACATATAGCAATTTATGTTCGAGGCGATTGCACACCGTCTTTTTAATACCAACACCTCGTATAATTAGTTCATAACAAGAAATGAAATATTTTAGTATTCTAATTATAGATCCTAAATGAGAAGTTGAGAAATGTTTTTAGTTGCCTGATCGAAACAACTCAACTACATACAATGCTCTATCAAATCCCCATTATTCAGAAACGTTTAGAAAATCCTCTTTGAATTGTAAATCGATAGGCTTTTATGTTCCGCTGTCATTTTCTCGTTTCTTAGGCTTTAATGTCTTCAGTGTTCATTTAGATTTCAACTCCTGATTGTACTTCTGTTCTATGAAATTTTTTGAACTAACATAGATCAGGTCTCTGAATTTTTTCAAATGTATTTTCATCTGTGCTCTAAATTTTTTGTGAACTTTTAATTATAACAGACTATTGAATAAACTATTTAATACATCCTGTCATATTTATTTAGTTTGAAATTAGCGATATCAGAAAAGGAAACATTGGTATATTTATTTTGAAGGAAAACATTGATACATTTAGTTCATTATTGCTGGTGGAAATATAGATAAAACGCTTGACAGCCGCTACACTCACACACCTAGCTGGGGCCATATTTTCAAAACTCGCTAAGTGAACGTACAGGTAATTACGCTCTATTTTCTTGTCTATGATTGGTGGATTTTGCTTGAAAGGCCGTCAATGATTGGCTTATGAACTTACGATCTCTTAATTTTTTTTTGAAAGTATAGGCCCAGATTGAAACGGTCACCAGAAGACATACATTCGTCAAAGCCAAGAGTTATCACTCTCTTTTGGAGTTTCTTTCTAATAAATAAGTTTATTATAGCACATATAAATTTATTTGCAATTTCAATCAATTTATTAAACTCGTGCAACTTAATAAAAACTCATTTTCATTTAATAAAATGCAAGCATTATATGTGAAATTCACTTTCAACATTACCATGTTTTTGTACATCAAAAAAGATGATTAGAGGCACACATCCACAAATATTTTATAATAAATCTTGAAACTTCATCACGTTTCTCTTTTTCAATTCAATTTTTCAATTTTAATTCAATTCATTTTTCATTCAATTCATTTGTCATTCAATTCAAATCATTTAATTCTCTTTTCCAACTCAACTCCTCAATTAAGGCCATTTCTCATCACGTAAACAACTCAATTGTTTGGTCATAACGACATCATCTGACACGTTGTAGAACGGTTTGATATCCAGTGCGAAGATGAGATGAAAATAACAGAATTTTTGTAGTATATATTAATGTTTGTGATTTTTGTATCTAATTGTACGAGTAGAAGAGATAGAGAATCAAAGTAGAGTTTTAAATGCAGATTCATATAAAAGTTCTAACGAAATTATTGAAAAATGCAAGTGTAAAACGTAAATAAAAAAGATACAGGAAGTATAAACGCCTGCATCTCAATTTTTAGCTCTGGTGCTCTTAGCAGCTAGTGTATCATTTTACGTGATATAATCACTACGAAAATGAGAAGCATCACATAACTTCAATTGTACAGGTTGCATGCCTTATACATTGCATGTATATAGTCAACCTTAAAACAATGAGCGCGCTTTTTCTGTTCCTCCCATTTCATTCTAATTACTCTCTTCGAGATCGTCATTCATCATAATGGACAAATATAATTGTATTTATTTACGTTGAATTTCATTTTAGATGCTTTCATAATTTTTGCTTCGTTATTTTTACAATTCATTATAACTAGACATTTGTGTTCGATAGGATTCCTATGCTCTTTGCCTTTATATGATCGAAAAATCGAATTTTCCCCTTTGACCGCCTGCATCGCATTATTTTTAGGTACTAACATTACGCTGTTAACCACTTTTAATCGGCGAGACTTGTGAGCAAGACATGCAT